GTAATGTACTTATCTGTAGCTACAGTTACCATTTATCTCGTTTAATCTGTTAACTACTCTCGATCAGGGGTTACAAAAGCGGGGGATGCAAAATTTAAAAAACAAAATGAAAAATTCAGTTATTGCCTGCAATGTCATATTGAGCATCTTGTTCAGTTAAGTAAATTTCAATAATTAAAAGAATTGATTCACCTTGTACATGTCTAACTTTTTCCTCTAACTGAGAAAATTTTACTGTCATTGTGCTGTAATTGGCCTGTAGCTGGTCTCTATCTGTTCTCAGTGTGCTGTAATTAGCCTGTAGCTTGTCTCTCTGTGTCTTCAGTGTGTTGTAATTAGCCTGTAGCTGGTCTCTCTCTGTCTCCAGTGTGCTGTAATTGGCCTGTAGCTGGTCTCTCTCTGTCTCTAGTGTGCTGTAATTAGCATGCAGCTGGTCTCTCTCTGTCTTCAGTGTGCTGTAATTGGCCTTTAGCTGGTCTCCCTCTGTCCTCAGTATGGTGTAATTTGCCTGTAGCTGGTCTCTCTCTGTCTCCAGTGTGCCGTAATTAGCCTGTAGCTGGTCTCCCTCTGCCTTCAGTGTGCTGTAATTGGCCTGTAGCTGGTCCTTTTCTGTCCTCAGTGTGCTGTAATTAGTCTCTTCTCTCTCTGCTTTTAGCATGTTGACCTTCCCCTCACGAAGAGCTCCTTTATCTGAAACAGATGGAAAATTAAGTCATTAAATGACTTGAATTCATGCCATGTAATTTATAAAGTTATGATATGTCCTAAATCATAAAACACTTAGCCACTTAGACAGAGACTACTGTTAGGCAGCAACTGCATCACAGTAAACACATAATTACAAGAGCCACCAACAAGAGAAAAAAAACATACACAGACATTACTTAATTTGTATTATTGACAGTAATTCTCGGACACATGGTACCACAAATATAATATTAGAAATCTATTCCGTCAGACAGCTAATGGACACTAATACTAAAGTAAAACTAACAAACTCACAGTAAACAGAAATGACTGTGGTGATCAACAGCAGGAGCAAACACAGCATCCCAAGACACACTGCGGCCAGTCGGTAGGATCGTTTTCTTGCGGGCTCAGATCCTGGGTGGGACTCAAACGCCCCTAACACTGGGGATGATGGGAGAATATTGGGTTCAGCAGGCACAGTAGATATGTATGAGTTAATGCATGGTAAGCTGTGCATTATGAACTGTTAAACGTACAAAGGCAAAGAAGCATCCGACGTGCAGCAAAGTGCCTTTAGAATGTATAATGCATGGCTTGGAGTTAACCGACTTATACCGTGGTTATTACACATTTAGCTTGACACGTTTGTAAAAAAAATATATATATATATCTATTTTCACATTTATGAGCTGAAAAATTACATTCATTAGAAGAACTAGCTTATTCATTATTTTTTAATTATAATTTAATTTCATTTTTTAAATATTATTTTTGCTCTATAAATGTTAAAGGAAATTGGAAAATCCTATATTTAGTGTTTGTGGCAATTTCTTTGATTTTATAGTTTGTGGAACCTGGTATTAAAACGTACTGGTAAATCAACGACTTGCCTCTCATCTTCACTGTTTTCCTCATAGCTGTCAGAACAATTTATGTTGAAATTATATATGTCAAGATGGGCAGCAGGGGACGCTAAGCACAGAATACATGTAGGGGAATTTGTAATTGTAAAACATACAAAGAACAATGACAGCAGATAAAGGAATCTGTTTCCTCTTGGATATTTCCACTGGTACAGTATGTAATCCATCCATCAATTTTCTGTACCCACTTGTCCTATGCAGGGTCACGGGGTTCCGGACCATCTCCCGGAGACTATGGGTGCAAGGCAGTGAGTAGACGAGGATGGGGTACCATCCCATCACAGGATGGACACACACACACACATTTAATATTGGTATGGATGTGTGAATGCAAAACCTGTCAATGTGAACAATGCTGTAATATTGTGAGGATTTTTTGTGTATACATGTTAAGAAATTATTGTTTTAAGATCCTTCTACTGATCTGTAATTGCTTGGCACACATAAGAGGATTTTGCAACCAGGCTGTTGAGCTGTAACCTTTTTACTATTAAAGCTACATGACTCGGCTATAGCTCGTTGGAAAGCTCAGAAAGTATAATGTGTCATGATATGGTCAAATCTGAAAAGAAAAAAAAATTTGACTTACAGTAACAGCGAAAATTCTGAACATACCTGATTTAAATGTGTCTCTCTCTATTTTAGCTATGTTATTCACCTCATACAGAAAGACCTTCAGACAAAGAAATAAAATATAGCAAATACTGAAACGATTAAGAGAAGTGCTCAGCATCGTTCTCAAATTTTAGACTCTTCAAAATAGCCCCCTTTTGCTTTGATTGCGGCATTGCAGACCCTTGGCATTCTTTCAGCCATATTCTAGATGTAGCCACCTAGAATGCATCTGTGAACGGTCCTGAAGGAATTTTCACAAATTTTGGCCACAAGTTGGTTACTTTGCTCTTACTCTTTGATCCAGCTCATCCCAAACCAGCTTTATAGGGTTTAGGTTGGGGGATTGTGGGGGCCAGGTCATCTGTCACAGCACTCCATCTCTTTCCTTGTTCACAAGATAATACAGTACTTACGTAACCTGAAGATGTGCATAGGGTCGTTATCTTGTTGAAGAACAAATGATTCTCAGTAGGTGTGCCCAAACATTTGACTAATACTTTATGCCCATTAAATTTACCATAAAGAGCTACAGCTGCACAATGTAGCTGTAACAGTAAGAGTTACAGCTGCTGTTATGATTAAAGTTACAACTTTTGCCTCACATTCTACTATTTTTGCTTTTCACATTCTGATATATTACTTGTCATACATAAACTATCATGTGAGGTAAAATGGCAAATGTGGGAGGAAGAGTATGAAATATGGCCAAAATGGAACGTCATGAAGAATAATTTCTAAATATTACTTTATGACTAAGTGTTCTACAAAAAAAAAAGTCTTTAAAACTTCTTACCTACAAATAGAATCCGACTAATTTATCTCTAGTTTACCTCCAATCTTCTAGGGTGCTGTGCATAGGGACTGTGTGTCTTTACCTGAACCTTGAGATCTCTTTGGAATCTGGGGCACTGGGCTGAAGGTACCATTCATGGACACATTAGCCTTAATAGTATCTGCGTTATAATTATACATGTCCATGTTAAGGCCTGTGCTGATTCTACTATCATATCACATTAGTTCTGAAATGGCTCTTTGCTTTAAAAAGGTTGCCGACCTCTGTCCTAGGCTGATATGGGGAGGAGGCCCTCATAAGTGGGCTCCATATTTAAAGCCGAAATAGAAACAAGAGGGAATTAAAAGCGATGGAACATCAATAACATGATAATCGAAATGCGGGGTGTCGTTGGTAAAATACACCA